AATAAGCGAATGGGTCTAGTTCTTCTTTAAGTCCTGACATATATTTGTTGACTGAAATATATTTCGTCATCTTTTCTATCGGATAAAAAAATATTTTTTTTAAAATTTACTCATAAAAATTATTTCTTTCTATATTTGCCATTCCGAACTTCGAAAAGATGTTTTATACCAGCATAGAATTTTTCTCTAGAGCTTAGTCTTATATCGTTTTCATGACAATATTTTCTATATTCTTCATATAAAGCCTTTTTTTCATACATTTCATAAGGACAATCTAACCAGAATAGCGCATATCTATTTTCGTTATCTAGGTCTTTTCCAACAAACTCAGCGTACATTTCAAATAAAATAAAAAAATATTTTTTAAAAATTTACTCAGAAAAATTTTTCTTTGTATATACGCCGTTCTGTATGTCTAAAAGATTTTTGACATTTGCCAAGAATGTTCGTTTAGAAGCTGTCATATAACCATACTCTTGACAATATTGTTTATACGAGTCGTACAAAGACCTTTCATCTAAACACTCAAAGTTAGTCTCATCTATAAACAGTTCATATACACTCTTGTTTGCTTCTAACAATGTTTGTCTCTCTTCGGTATATGGAATTTGTCTTGGATTGAACTTAGAAATATCTAATGTCATGAAATATGAGAACAAGTGGTTGTAAAAGTTAGGTGTCAAGGTTTCTGCTAAGTCGTCAAAATATTCTGTATCTTGCATATGAGCTTCTGACGTTCTGACAACTACATATCTTCTGTCAGAACTTTCTAACTTCATCGGAACGGCATTGTTTGAAACCATGATGAAATTTGCAACATTTTCACAAACTCTTTGGTCTTTATATTTTCTTTCAACAACTCCAACTTTGTCTGTTATAAGACTCTTCAAAGCATCTGAGTTCAAAACTTTTGTTGTATCTATACTTTGAAGTTCATTGCAAACTATAAGTTTCATATTCTCTATTGAGGAGTTAAACTTGCCACAGATGTTTTCTAAGTTTGTCATATTAGGGTTCGAATAACCTTCTAATAGTTTGCATAAGATATCTGTAAAGAATGTGTTCTTACCAGTTCCTTGTTTTCCAATTATAATGAGAGCAATTTCATTCTTAGCACTTGGATGTTGTAAGATGTTTGCAAACCAACATAAGATATACTCATAGACTCTTTCGTTTCCATTGCATATAATTTCTTTGACATGGTCTAACCAAGCTTCTATAACATTTTCTTTCCATTCTACTTGTTCGTATTTATATCCAGTGAAGATAGAATAGAAGTTTGGAGATGGTGTATAGAACTTTATACCTCGAACTGAAAAATCTTCTAACTTTGACAATAAGATATCCCAAGCATCTAACATCTTCATACCAACTTGTACGACTTTTATTTTCTTAAGTTTCTGTCTACATTCTTGTTCTGAAACTATGGTTGCTCTTGGTTTGTTAAAGACAACATCCCATTCTTTCATGACATAACATTCTGGGGCAGAGTCGACATAAATGACTAAACGTTTCAAATTCTCGACTGCTTTGTTATAGTCTCTAAATGGACACATATTTCTGAACGCTTGGAAGTCATAAAAATCTGAAACGTCTATTCTGTACATTTTTATAAAAATAAAAAAAAATATTTTTTTATTCTTGAGCTATTTGTTGTTCTTGAGCTATTTGTTGCATTTGTTGTTCTTGAGCTATTTGTTGTTGAAGTTGTTCTTGTAGTACAATACTTTCACCAGTTGCATCTTCCAATTCGAAACTTTCTGCCGTCATTGACAAATACATAGGACATAAAAGTTTTACAGGAACAAAGTTTGCGTCGACTAAGGTTAAGTTTATGTTTGCTAAAGTGTTTGAGTTCACTAAAGCTGAAAACTCTGCATTCGAATGAACAATAGGCAAACCAGCAGAGAAAGTGTTGTTTATACGCATGAGTATCTTTTGGTCATAGTAGTTTCTGTCGACATTCGAATAGCACTTTGAACCTAAGTTTGAAACAATATATAAAATAGGTGTACTTAAAGTCAATGGAACAGACATTCCTTGTATGACACCTTTTCCTGTTATAGGAAACTGTTGGTAGTAAAAACCAGATATAAGTTTTGTATTATAGCTCATATCGTTTATACTAAACTCAGTCGGACATCCAAACATAATGAAACCTGCTCTAGTTGCAGCACATGTTACATCCGTCCTTAAAGTATTAAATAAGTCAACAAAACCTGTTGGTGGTATATCTGAGTAAGTATCTTCAAAGAAGTATTTTTTACCATTCACAACAACAAAGTCTTCTGGTGTCAAAAGAGCAAAACAGGCTTTAGTCGTCATTGTGTTTAAAGTTAGTTTACAATACCGTCCTTGAGGACTTTGTAAGTTTGTTGTTATAGAATTATATGACTCAGGGTTTTTAGTCGTAATAGTATAAACCACTATGTCTTCTGCCATTTACTTAGCAAACAAACTTTAATGAAATGTTGTGGTCGTCAAATATTTTTATGACGTCTGGGAAACTATATTTTAAGTTCAACGTTTCACCTCCTTTCATAACGTATATCTTGTCAATGACATTATATGAAACACCACAGCAAGCAATGTCGGGTTCTATTTCTTTGATGTTTATATCGTCTGCCTCTGTCAAAAGTTTCAATAGTTCTTTCAAAATTTCATGAGGTGCGATGACATATGAGTTCACTTTTACAGGGTTGTGCTCAACCAAGTTTAACATTATACCCAAAGCCTGACAAATCTTCTCCTGAGTTTTAAGTTTGTCTTTAAGTTGTTGGTAGTCGTTTCGAATATCTGCAACAGAACTTAAGTCTCTGCTAACTTCAGGATATGTTGGTTGTTCTTTTACAGGAACTATTGTTATACCATCTTCGTCTTCGTATGGTTTCCCCACTTCAACATCTCTTTCTTTGACATTGACAACAACACTTTGACTGTTTGTTTGAGTTGGTGAATTTAACTTCACATCTGCCACCGCCATTAAACCTTTTGAAACACTTACGCTTCTATTTTTCGGAAATGACATTTTACTTAGAATAAAAAGATGGACGTATTTGAGTATCTCTTCGAATTGAAGCAAAACAAAGTTTACACACACAAACAATACAAGTTCATTGACAGAGTAGTTCTTTATACAAACAATGGAAAATGTTATAGAATAGCAGTCTTTGCTGAACCAAAATATTTTCATAAAGCAAAGAAAGTTGGTATAACTGAAATGGTGAAAGTTCTTGAAGCAGACAAAAATATAACAACAAAACTGACCGATATTTCTAAAGGTAAGTTTATAATACAATATTATATCAAAACTGGCGTACTGTCAATATTTGACGGAGAGAAGTCAGTTCAAGAACAACTTACTGACCTGCTGCCAAAATCTGCTCGATGGAAGCTGTCGTTATACCAATCTGAGGAGCCCCAGCAGGTTTCATCGAACGAATTTTCAAAAGAGCATCTTCCGTGAAAAGTGCTATTGGTTTTGTAAACTTCTTTGCTTTCAATTCATCTGGACCGTCTCTGTCACCAGTATATTGTATTTGAACTGTACCAACAGTTGAAAATACCACCCATAAAGTCTTCTGAGTCAGCAAATGGAATGCCAAGCCAAAAGTTTGAACGGTCTCCATTTGTATATTGAGTTTTTTGACCTCCTGTATGAGTCCATACTTTCACATATGGCATAATAGAACTTTGCATTTCAGGGTTAATGGTTGTTGTGAAGTTGTTGTTAAAGTTCATAGCATCTAATGTCAAGTTGTATGACCTCATATCCTCAACTGTAGAATATTCTTCTCTTGGATAGTATTTGCCATCTATGTTTATATGGTATTTAATACCAGGGTTGTAGAAGCAAGAATAGTCATTTATAGTTCGTCTGAACAGTACAAACATAGTATCTGCATGTTTCATTGCAGTTGTTAAAGCAATATCTGTTCTTGCACCTGGGTCAGCACTTTGGTTTCCAACTTCACCTGCAAAGTCTTTGACAGATATTTGGTGTATAGGGAACATAAGTGGAACTGCAATATATTTGGCAGCTAAAGCATTTGAAATATCTGGGTCCAACATATAGACTGCAAGTCTGCTTTCTATTCTCTTGCATTCAAACTTTTCGCATGTGAACTTAACTGGGTCCCAAGCAGTTCCAGCAGCATTGAAATAATAGTTTACTTCAGTGTTGAGGTTTGAGAAACCAAAGTCTAAGTCAACTTTGTCTTTGCAAAAGTCGGCGAATGACGTTTTATTTGTTCCCACTACGTCTGTAAGAGTGAATGGGTCTTGTGTTGGTGCAATGACTAAGTTATTTTTGCTTGGAGTAAGTTCGATAGAAATTTTTCCTGCCCAGTTTGGCAAGTATCTTAAAAACCTGAAGATGAGGAAAGATGACAAAGGAACTCTAAGTTTCAATTTTACTTTGGTTACTGCATTTCCATCTGAACCAGAAAGGTTAACATAAACTCCTGGAACGTTAGGGTCAAGTCTTCTTATTTTCTCAATAGTTGCATACTGGTCTGTTTGTTCTCTAGCTTGTGGTTGTACTGAGTTTCTCAAAGCGAACCATTCATAGTTTGCCCATGTTACTGTTTGAACTAAGTCAGAGTTAGAATATATCTTATATCCCATGAAAACTTCTGGAGCATATTGGTATCCGACATAGAAAATTCCATTGCAACCTTTCTTGTCAGACAACTTGGCAGAAGGTTTTATTTCAATGTCTTGTTCCACGTATAAGAATGAGTTGTCAATAGAAATTATATGAAACCTGTCGCAAGCAATATCTACTGTTGTTGAAGAACCTTCTCCAAACTCACCTACGTTTCCATAAGAAACAGCAGTTGTATATTCGTAAGTTCCAGGAACTATTTCTGACCTTCTAATGGCATTGTCGCATTCGTTATACCATTCGGAAACATTTCCATTCATAGCATCCAAAACTGTTGGCGTTATATTCTGAGCGGCGTACATTTCATATGAGTAAAAATATAGAATAGTTGGATTTATATGTCATAATAGAACCCACTCCGACCAAGCTTTACTTTCTTCCTGACTGAGTTTTTAACTCTTCTTTTTCCTTCATTGCCCTCTGCTTGAAGTTGTTGCATCTTTGCATTATGTTCATCTAGTATGTTGCAAATTTTCCATGTCCTTTTTGCCTTTTGGCTCTGGTCGCCCATCTCAGGTACCCTATATCCTAGAAAGAGTTTGTCATAGTTTGTATTTGAGTCTTCGCGTATTGTTTGCATGACTCTTTCCTGAGTTTCTGGTTCAAGCTCTTCAAACAGAGCTTGTCCATATGGAATAAGCTCGTTTCCAAATATATGTTTTTGTAGCCATTCTGGTTTTCTTTCCATGTTACCAAACAATATCTTTTGTGAATGGGAAAGCTTTTACCCAATCTTTCAGTCTTGCGTCGTTTATTTCTGTAGTTGGTTTTATTTTGTCAAGGAACATGTTTTTCAATACTAACATTTCATTTGGTACTGTCCATTTGAGTTTTCTTAAATATTCATCCCTTCTCGGTTCATTGTCTGCAAAGTAAGTTTTTATGACATTTTGTAAACTTTCGTTTGCAAGGTCATGTACAATAGGTTCTCTTCCTTCTCCCTCCCCTAACTTTTCTTTCTAAACTCTTCACCAAATATACCATCTCTATGGTTCTGTGTAGTTCTTTGAGATAAATGTTCTAGAACGTCAGGTGTTATATTTCCTTCAGCCATGTTCATTTCTACTGGTCCAAAATATCTGCATCTTTCATATCTTTCAATGGCATTAAAGCCGCGCTGAAAATACCAGCTATATCTGGTTCACCATTCACTTCCATTGCGTCTACAACTTCTTGGAATTGTGGTTGTAAGTTTATGAACCACCTATCTGGATTAGCTTTATGACCCCATCTCATTGTAGTTCCATCGTCTGCAGAAACAAAAGTAGGTTTGTTTCCATCTTGGTTAGGTTCTGAATGAACTTTAAACAATGTTTCATTTCTATATGTTTTCTTGAAATTTAACCTTTTATCTTCACCGAGTTCATCCGAAGATTGAACGTTAAATGCTCGTAAGTAAAAGGGTTGTTGTATTTGTGTACATTTTCTTTCAGTACTTTCATTCTATGCTGAATATTTTCATCTGGTGTTGGAGTCTTTTGTATGTCGGCAAACATTTTTCGATATTCTTCTACTATGTCAGCCGAATTTTTTTTAGACTCTTGGAAATATTCCATATTCTCCGCATACTCTTGTTGAGGGTCAAGATTTTTCGGCTGTTCCAAATCTTCATCTGGTTCTGTGAAGTTAGTTTCCAAAGGAGGGACTTGTTCGTTTCCTTCAGGCTCTTCTAGCTGTTGTTGCTGAACTATTTCTTCCATGTCTGGTTGTATCTGAACTTCTTCCTGTGGAGTTTCTTGTACCTCATCTGCTGGCATTTCATATATTCCGAGACCGTTTTCAACAATTTCCCTATCTACGTCATCCGCATTCATAAGCTTTTGTTCTTTCGTTCCGTCTCTATTTTTTACGCGTTTCATGACGAAAGTTGAATTGTCATTTAGCTCTGACATCAAATATCTCGGAGTAAATTCATCCATGTCATTTGGATGATATGCTATTAAATCATATCCCTTAGCGAGCTTGTATTTTCCAGGTTTGAGATTATATCCGTTTTGGTGCTGAGCCATAAAGCTAAATAGGTTCGGGTCAGTATTTCCATCCTTGAACTTTCCAATAGCTTCTTTATATCTGTCACTAAAGTCAATACTATCTGGGAAACCACACTCTTCTTTAAGCATTTTTAAGAATTCTTGGTTTCCTTGTTCTCTACTTCTTTTATGTCCTTGCTCTGTTTGTGGTTGTTGTTGTGCAGGGTTTTGAACTGTTGGTTGCTGTGTTGGTTGTTGTGCTGGTTGTGGAGGTGGTTGTTGTGCTGGTTGTTGTGTTGGTTGTTGTGTTGGTTGTTGTGTTGGTTGTTGTGTTGGTTGTTGTGTTGGTTGTTGTGTTGGTTTTGGTGCATGCCTGTGTCTGTGTCCATGTGACGATGTAAATGTTCTAGGTAGTCCTGGTGCAGGTGCTTCTCTTGGAGGGTTTGGTGGTATATAAGTTCCACCAGCTGGCACATATGTTCCATCTGCAGCATAATGTCCTACCTGACTTTTCGTTCTTAAGAAAGCATTTACTAGGTCTGTTTTGGTCTGTTGTAACTCTTTTTCTTGACTTTTCACAACAGTTGCTCTAACGGCGTCATAGGCACTTTGAACTGCCTGTCTCGTTGCTGCATCTGTTATTTTCGTCATATTTTGTGCTACTTCTCTTAACTCTTTGTCGAAACCTTCAGACTTCAGTTTCTTTCCAGATGAGAAGTCGTTCACTTGTTTCACCTTACTATGAAGAGCTTCGAAGGCGTTCTTAAAGTCAGCATTCGTTAAAGCTTCATTTGAACTGTCTTCATCCGCTTGTATTTTTGTCCTTATTGACCCTATGAGTTGGGCTGCTTTAGCGTTGGCTTGGGCATCTAACCAGTCATTGTTAGCTTTTATATATTCCGCGCTTTTCATTGCCTTTTGCATGGCTGCGTCGTTATTTTTACTTTCTTGTGCTAAGTTTTCATACTGTACGGTTTGGTTTTGCAACTGTAAAAGTTTTTCTGCCTTTACATTTGCTTCAACTTCCTTTTTATACTCATCGCTATCCATATATGTCTTCAGGGCTTTTTGTTTTATTTCTTCATCTTTCAGTACTTTATATCGAGTAGTATGGTTTTTCAAATTTACAACATCTTGTTCCATTTTTGCTACTTCTGCTGCTTTTTCTGACACTTTTTTCGCATATTCCTCTGTACTTAGTTCTTTCAGTTGTTCTTCTTTCTTCTTTTCTCTACGTTTAACTCATTGAGTTTCTTTGTGTGTCTGTCATATTCTAGTTTCTTTTCGTTTTCACTTATTTGCTTCTGTATGTCTATGTTTGACTTTTTGACATCTGTTATTTGATTTTTGAGTGAACTCAAATTCATTTGACTTTGAGGGTTATAGGCTGTTCCGTCTGCAGCTCCACCATAGCCTGCCATTTTCGCTAAAAGTGCCGCTCTTAAACCTCCACTCTGTGCACCAACAACTCGGTTTAAAAGCATAGGGTTGCTTGACATTTGTTGCAACATAGTGGGGTCATTCATTATTTGTTGTTGCAACTGTTGTTGTGGTGTCAGTTTTACTATTGGATGTTTCAATGCTCCCTTCCTCTTACGTATATTCTTACGTAGCTTACGTGGCATTTTAAGTGAAGTTAAAAAGCGGTTTTTGACAGATGTTTTATTGTGACTTCTTCGTAAAGACTTTGTTGAGATTTCTTCGTAAAGACTTTGTTGAGACTTCTTCGTAAAGACTTTGTTGAGACTTCTTCGTAAATGACCCAAAAATATATTTTAGGGTAGAAGGGTATATCTAACCTCTTTTCTAACCTCTTTTCTACCTCTTGAATTTTCATGAATTTCTTCGTAAAGACTTTGTTAAGACTTCTTCGTAAAGACTTTGTTGAGACTTCTTCGTAAAGACTTTGTTGAGACTTCTTCGTAAAGACTTTGTCAAGACTTCATCGTAAAGACTTTGTTGAGATTTCTTCGTAAATGACCCTAGTAGTATATTTTTGGTGTAAATTTCATGAAAATTCAAGAGGGTAGAAAAGAGGTTAGAAAAGAGGTTAGATATACCCTTCTACCCTAAAATATATTTTTGGTGTAAATTTCATGAAAATTCAAGAGGGTAGAAAAGAGGTTAGAAAAGAGGTTAGATATACCCTTCTACCCTAAAATATATTTTTGGTGTAAATTTCATGAAAATTCAAGAGGGTAGAAAAGAGGTTAGAAAAGAGGTTAGATATACCCTTCTACCCTAAAATATATTTTTGGTGTAAATTTCATGAAAATTCTGAGTAAAATGACAGATGTTTATATGACACTTTCTCCGGTTTATAGGACCTCTCTCATATTCTAAACATCCTCAGGGCTAGAAGGCACGAAGTGCCTGGAAGCCCCACTCCCTTTTTTTTTTTTTTTTTTTTTTTTTTTGGCGTCATGAATCGAATGGATATGATCAATTTAGTATATATAGTTAAAATGTTAAATTGAATTTTTTATTTGATTCATAACATTTTCTCTAATTTTATCAAAAACATACCAGGCCATCATTTATATTCTCAAAACCCTTGACATTTCTCTTGTTGCATGGTCAATCAAATTGTTGAATATTTCGAACACACTATAGTTAACAATATCCTATTATTTAAGTACCTAATGTCCAATTTAAATTTGTGTGAAAAATTTGCATTTGAGTTGTTCCTGTTTGGAACTGATTATCCATGAAAAAATATTTTAAATTTAAAAAGAGATTATAACTTGGATAATTCAAACATCAAGTAAACCACTTATCTTGATTGATTTTGAATTAATTTTCATTATTCTTGTCTCTAATTGAATTTATTCATTGAGATTCTCTAAATATTCTTGTGAAGATTAAGTTATCAAGACTTAAACCATAAAAATGATTATTTTTGATCATCGAATCAAAATTTATTTGTAAAATATGATATTTATTGTGATGTTACAGAATCCACATCCTATATATCAAAAATAAGAGTTTTCATAATTTCGCGCCTTTTTTTGAAAAGTTTACAAATTCATGCAATGAGTATCTTGGAAAATTCCGTCCGGCAAAAGCATTGCCAAGAACTCAGTAAGCATGAACTAATGAATCTCATGGAGAACTTAGATGTTGTTGCAGAGATTAAAGTTCCCACGCAAATTTTCGTAAGATTTCTAACGTTAAATATTTGTTCGCTCGTAGACATAGTATTGAACGATCCAGATGCAACACAAAAAGTAATTAACAAGATTATGTATATTATAACTTCAAATTTAAGCGACATTAGATACGTTATGACTAGAAGTGACTGTTTATTAGTTTTAATGCTAAACTTTGTCAAGCAAACACTAGATAAATTGAATTCAAAACGAGTTACACGATTTGCGAAGATATTATACCAATTAATTCTAAAATCTGAATACGATTTTTTAGGAAAAATACCGAATCCTTACCAATTCATGTCGTCATTATTTACTATGTCCAAATATTTTGCGATCGAAGAGTTTCTTTCTGAATTTCTTTGTTCAGATAATTTAATTTTTCTGAAATTTTTCGAACACGCTAGAGTTGGATCGATTTTAACACATGAAATCCAAGTAAACCCAAATAATTGCGAAGTGTACCTAAATCTATTATATAAATTAGCAGATAATCCGCACGTAAGCTCAAGATTTTTTATTCCTTTATATTCACGACAGTTCGCTATGACATTAATATCGATAGGCCGTACATCAAAGAGCGCTAATGTTTCAGCTCTTGCTTTCGAATTCGTTGCCATGAAATTAATCGAAAATAAGTATCCGAAAGAAGCTAGAGACTCAGTTCGAGGTCAACTCGTTGCAATATGCAGATTTATTACATCCAAATCGACTCAAAAGTTCGATTGCTCTTTACGTTGTGCAATAGATTTATTAATTTCGATAATTCATACAAAGAACAGCATTGAGCAAGAAATCTTTATCGAAGAAGAAGAGGAAATATACGAGGAAGACAAGGAATTCATTATAGAACCTAGTCCTATTTCTAGACCAAGGCCAAACATTCCACCTTTACCAAGAAAATCAGTACAGATTATGCAAAATTGTCCTTTATCGCCAGATAGAAAAGGAACTCATTCTGGACCACTTAATCCCAATATTTCCCAGACAAATACGAGTTTTTACACATCTAAGACGAAAACGGCTAAAACAAGCAAGATAAACTTCAATACTTTACCTAAAGAAGAAGCAAATCCAGACTTTAACTCAGTTTTGTTCTCAAAATCATGTCCTGTTTTTTCCGGATTATATACTATTGAAGAAGACCAAGAAATCATTGGATCCCCACTCGAATCAAATCTTCTTCCATCAGTAACATCATCCGAGAAGTTCAGACGCCTCTCAGACACAGATCCAACTGTAGAAGCTGCAAGAGCATTATTAAGAGCTTTCTTTAGTAATCCGAACTGCACTTTCTTGCATTCCGCTGTGTTCGACTTATTATCAGAAATCGTTGCTTCTACAGATTTGTTCGCTGTAATCATTGTTTCGTTTGATTTCAAGAAATTTGCCATTGAAGCACTTTCAAAGAACCCAATGGCCCCATATATAGGTTACATCCACGAGATAATTCGCCTTATACAAGGAGATGGCGAATTAATCGACATTGCTTTCGTTATTGATGATGAATGGGATACTAAAGAAGAATTTTATGTTCTTCAAAAGGATTTACATGAAGTTCCAGAGTTTACAGGTATCCTACAAATAGAAAGCCCAAGAATATGGTAATTATTTGTAATATTTTGTTATTTTTATTATATTTTTTGTTCTGTTATATTTATAATTAAATTTGTTTTGTCATAACTTGATACTCTTTTCTTTCTCTCAATGAAAATTCAACTGTGGTATCAAAAGGTTAAACGAAATCATGCTTGTTCATGCTTAAAATCAAAAATTAAGCATGTAAATATTTCACAAACAAGATAAAACATATGCACTACTTACAGTGATCGCTAGATTTGATACGAAATTTCAATCGCTTATTTTGGAAGTATTTTTTGATCGAAAGGTTGAAAATATAACTAAAAGACCTCATACACAACATCTTCTAAGACCATGAAATGAAATAAAAAAGTATTACGCCATTTTGAAACATATCAAATTATTTTGGCAATTTTGATATTTTTCTAACATATAGTTAAATAAGAATAAGGGTTTCGTTTTGCTAAAATTGTCACTTTTATAGCATATTTGTTTTTGGATGTTTTGCGAAACCAAAAAAAAAACTATGATATACAATGTGTGTGTAAAGAAAATACTTTATTTACTAGTTAAAAAATCATTTGGTATTGATCAAGTTATTTTTTCTGGATAAGATATTATATGGATAATTGGATAGAAAATACAATTATATAATCTTGTACCTGGTTTAATTAAGCTAATTGTCATCAGAAACTTGTAATTTTTATGAATTTCAGATTTTCTTTTCATTACTGCTTTTCTTAATAGGTCAAGTTCTTATTTACGTTATAAAGTATGATATTTACAAATATCAAGTTATCATGTTTTTTGAGAAATTATGAGAAACAAACAAAAATGAAAAAGATAGGAATAGCAATGAATAGTGATGTGGGTATAGAAAATGTAAGAGATATGAATGCAAAGCAATCAGTATTTAGGATATTGACCATAGATTTCGAAAAAAAATGCTGCATATTGAGCGAAAACTATGATTATATTATAAGGCTGTCATTTAAAGCATAATGAAACTATTCCCTTTTCATTTTAATCGAATAAGATAGTAAAGATTTTTGAATTAGCTAGAAACTGATGAGATGTTTTCACAAATCAGATTTTTAATCTCTATAATGCATAATTCACTCAATATCTCAATTTTGATATTGCGAGATATTTTTGCTATCGGTTTCGCAATTTTGACACAATAGCAAGAAGGTTCTATTGTTGCATGCTAAGTTCGGTCAACGATAGGAATTGAGGGGAAATTAATCGTCGAGGAAGTACGATTATGTAAAGTAAAAAATGTTGTGGGATTTTTAATATTGTATATAATTTTATAATAAAATTTTTGTGAGACATTTTAAGAAGCACATATAATTTTTTGAATTTAAAAATTAAAGTAGTGTTGAATGAATTTATTGATTAATTTAATACGGATATTTCTCAAAATTAATCAAAAATAGGTTTTCAGAGAACTTTTGAGATATCTTTTCAAAATGTCTTTTTGAAAATATATAAGTATTATATCAAATTGAAAAAAGGTATTTATCAAAATTCTAAATTCTTAATAAAAAATAACTTTTCAGAGGATTGTGATTTTGAAAGCATGAGTAATAAGTAAAAAATATCTACGATTTTAATGAGGGAATTGTTCCTTATGAGGTATACATTATAACTATATACCTCATAAGGAACAATTCCCTCTTGATAGCTGGGAAACTTTCTCTGAATAACTTATCATTTGGAGAAAGTTTCCCAGCTATCTATTAGAAACTAAAGGCTGTGAGGCACTAATATATAATCAGTGCCTCATAGCCTTTAGTTTCTTATTAAAAACGAGAAAACTTGTTCGAAATGATAAACAATTTCGAACAAGTTTTCTCGTTTTAAGGAGGGAATTGTTCCTTATGAGGTATACAGTATGAATATATAACTCATAAGGAACAATTCCCTCTTGATAGCTGGGAAACTTTCTCTGAATAACTTATCATTTGGACAGAAAAAGTGACACTTTACATGGCAAAAAATAGAGCCTTACTTTTGAGATACTTGAGATTGAAACTGAATCTTATGAGGCGGTGATCTTGAATCACTACCTCATAAGGTTCAGTTTCATATAAAATTTGTTGCAATTTGTTATTCTTTTGCAATTATTTCTTATAAGATTTTACATCTTTTAGCGGGGAATGTTTGTTATCATGTATATATTATAAATATCTACACGATAACGAACATTCCTCGCTAAATTGCTGAGAAACTTTGAGGAAATGTCGAACAATTTCCTCAAAGTTTCTCAGATTTATATAGATCACTAGAGTCCCCTAGGCACTGATTCTGGTTCAGTACCTAGGAGGCTCTAGTTCTCTAACGAACTGATAAAATGTTTTTAAATTTTTGGATATTGCTACCTGTGAAGCACTGACTTCAAGTCAGTACCTCACAGGTAGCAATTACATTGAAAGATGGGAGAAACTTTGTCCGAATGTTAAACTATTCGGACAAAGTTTCTCACATTTGTAGTGGAGATGGAAGGCTTTGAGGTATATTGTATTAATATATACCCAAAGCCTTCCATCTCCACTTGAAAGTGTCCAAACTTTGGGTTAATACTTTGCAATTAACCCAAAGTTTGGACACTTTCTAGAAGGAATTGGAGGGTAAGAGATATACGTTCATATGGTATATCTCTTACCCTCCAATTCCTTCTTAAAATGGGAGAAACTTTGTCCGAATGTTAAACTATTCGGACAAAGTTTCTCCCATTTTTTGAAGGAATTGGAGGCTATGAGATACTGATGCAATGTCAGTAACTCATGGCTTCCAATTCCTTCCTAAAACTCATAAAAGTGGACATTACATGCATATAAAATTTGACATGTAAGTCCACTTTTTGTGAGCGGGGATTTGACTCCGTCAAATCCCCTTTTTCGTTTACGAGAAAGCCAAATTCTCTCAAAAAGTTAAGTAGGACCAATTTTTTATAAAAAAAATCCAATTTCATTATGAATGTTAATTAATTTATATAATTATTGAATAAAAAATTTTCTTTGAGATTATGAAAAGTTCTTTGAAAAGTTATTTTTTCTCATTTTTAAATATTGTATTAGCCTATTTATTTATAATCCAAATTAAATAACTTTAAATTCAATATTTAAAGAATAATTTTGAAGGAATTGAGTTACTTCCCCCGACGATAAAATTGAGAGGTTTACATTTTGACCGAACTTAGCATGCAACACTATAAGCATTATTATCAACGTAGAATCTGAATATCATATCAGAAAATGTCGCAAATCTGACATTTACCCGGCCAAATAGCAAAAATAATTGAATACTTTTCGCAAAAACTTTAAAAATCGATAAAAATATGAAATATAGATATTAAAGAGACTTTTTATATAATATTCATAAAGATTTTCCAAAAATATGATACCGCAAAATTAAAAAAGTGATGTCTTGAGTGGAGTCAAAGGTCGAAATTGCTAGCTAAATTTTTTTTAGCGAAATTGCGTATTGTACGTTTTTTTCGCAAAACGAAACCCTTAATAAGAATCTAAATGGAAAATATTTTAATTTTTGAGAAGTTTACAATAAATTTATTTTAATGAATAATTTCAGTTAACTAGCTATCAATAGGAGTTTCGAATAGCCAAATTTTTGACAGCATTTTGAATCTGTTTGAATTGACTTGAGGATTTTGAGAACTGCTTAACGTATGAATGTTATATTATTGATTCCATAACACAAGCAAAAATACATGAAAGTTGGATTGAAAACGATAGCATACAGAAAAACTAATTATTACAATGTCCGAAGAGGCACAGTTCCTCGCTGATTTGGCGAAAGAGAAACGTGTCATCAGCGACAAGCGTAAGAACATAGATAATAATACAAAATTTACTGAAAAGTTCCAACAATATAATAATGGTTGGGTCGCATCAGCCTTCCAACAAAATGAAAGAGAGATTATTATCATTCCACCAAAAGAAATATCAAGACCTAACCCTGTTCCAAAATATACAGATATATCTCCAGAACCAACAGAAATCGGAGAAAAAATCGACGGAACAATACCGAGAGAGAAAGTCCAAGAGTTCCTCGATCTCAAGGAGGACCTCTCGAATCTCAAGGCGCAAAAAGTTACTGACGTCGCGCGTCCTGTTGTCGTATATAACTATCAATACACAAAACCAGAGCCCTTATACAAACCAACTACAAGTTATATATCAATTGAAGCGAAGAACTTTATACCATCAACACTTAAACTCAAAAACCGCAAAGTTAACGGTTATTTCCAACTTTATGATGTTACAAAAGCCGATTACGCTTCGCAGCCGGCCTATTTCCATATAGATGGTCAAACAATGCTCTTCTCACAAGGCAGCAACAAGGTCTGTTTCTTCGAGTTACCACCTAAAAACACAAATATTCGTTTACTTTATGTTGTCAATATTTTGGAAGACGGCAAGGAAGAGCCACACTCCTTATCGTTAATTAAGTTATTCGACGACCAAGGAAAACCAATTCCAGAGCACAGATATCTTCCTGCAGCGATGTTTACAATAACGAAGCCTTATATTACAGATGCACTCGAATTAGCCATTCACGACTCGGACCAAGCTACAGAATCTATCGATTGCACTACTTCAATTCATTATCATTCGAAATCAAAACAATCTTTCTCTTACCAATGGGAAGAGAACAACACAAAACCACTCTGCGTACCATTATTCCCAATACCAAGCTATTCTCCTTATCCAATCATCACAATTCGCGATATTTGGACTACGTTGAATCTTAAATCAGGAAAAGTTTACTTCAAAGCTTGTGTATGCGAGAAACCAAACTACAAGAAACCAGAGCCCCTCAAAATAATCATAAACAAAAGCGGATCTGGTCTTACAGATTTTTATGTTTCTCCGATGTTCAATGGCAATTCAAAACACGCATTCCCTGATTTCATACCGATCGTCCCTACAGAAAACATCTTAAAGTGTCATTTGCTGATTCAATTTTATCATTTTGAAGAAAATTCTAAGATCAAAGAGAAA